CTGCCGTAAACTAATACGAAACATGATATTTTTAATATAGTACAAACAAGCACGTACAACGTAACGTTTCCAGAAAGTAAAAGTTCCATTATTCGAATCTAAAATCGAATCTAAAGTCCAAGTTATACTTCTATATTTCTTCTTGGTACTAACATTCATTATTACGAAACAGGGATTTGAATACGATGAAATACGCATTAAAATTTCATTCGAATAATAGATAACTCTGTTCGATCGAACAATTAAAATTTTTTTCGTTGTAAAATTATTAATTCTGTAAATTGAGGTTTTATTTTTATTTCACGTGCAGAGAGATGGACACTGATTTGTCACTTATTCGTTGTTTGAAATTTACATCCGGATATGAATTTTGGCCGTCTCTGGTCCGCTTTTTGCGCGCGGATCGATCGTTCGTCGATCGTTAAACGAATACCGCGCGTTTCAACGATCTAAACCCCACCAATCCTGCCGAAACACGTGACTGTGTGTCGACATCAAACACATTTTAGAGCTCGTTTCACCCTGGACCCGGGAACATCCTAGTAATCATCGGATAACCGTGCGACGCTTTAAAAAACCGGAAGAATCGATTCGTGACGTCCCTGCAAGAACGTACGGCACTAAAAGCGTATTGTACGGGACTATCTAGGGGGAGTGGGGGTTCGTTCGAAAATTCTAAATCACGCTACACGCCATTGTTCGCTGTATTATATTGTACCTTAATATTTTTTGAGATCTTAAGGAATATTGGCAGCAAATGATGACAAATTGGACAGACTCAATCTATCATCGTCTTTAGAAATGTAATAAACAAATATTATAGAGGATCTAAATATCGTAAAACTTCTGGAACTTTGGATGCGAAATTAATCGAGAAAAAATACAATGTTGCATTAAATCAACGGTCCGCAACGAGTTACATTCGACAATTCTAAATGTGGTCAGTAATCGTGATTTATCAGCGTGTTCGTCGTTTATTTTGACGAGCAGCCCGCGTGGCTGTAACGGAAAGAGAAACGCGGCGGGAAAATTCGTTTCGAAGACGATGCATCGGTACAGTTTATTTCGCGGCGGAACATTTCGAGCGTAATAAAACGCTAGTCGAACGTTCGATTTTGTCGGGCGGGGTGTATAATGGAGGACCATCGCGTCACCGATACATTATCCTGACGAACGCGTCGTAAATATTCCGCCGCGGAACGAAACGCGCCGATTAATCAGGAGCATTCGAACGCGCGGTTATTTAACGTTCATATATGTGGAATGAAGCGACGCGGTTCCGTTTATTATTTATAAACCGCTCGAAATCGAGCGGGACGAAAACTCTTTGACGATGCGGACGAAATTCGCGTCCGCGAATTCGACGGAACGCGATCGTTTATTTACGGCGATCGCGTCCGCGTTCCGGGCGAAAATGGAGATCAACGTTTCCCTGATATCGCGTGTTTTGCTCGAAAAACAACGATGTTCCGGAATTACTTGTTTCGGCGCTAATGAGAAAATAATATGGACAGTCTACGACTTGGGCTGCGATTAGGTTTAGAAATCATGCGATCGTGGCTGCCACGGTCGTTCGAAACACATTGTTCCGACGTGAATTGGTTTTATTACGGATCTTTCAGTTTAAAATTTATTTATTTTAATTCTACCGAAATAATTAATTGGAATTTATTCCCCATGTCCAATTTCTCAGATACCAAGATACCTTGTTTTTATCTTAATTTCTCTAATTTGAATTGCCACCCGAGATAGAAAAGGAATAAACAGCGTTGGAACGCCGGAAACCAGAGTCGAAACATCAATTATGACACGGCGTGGTTAAGTGTCGCTATTTAGCTCGGAATTAATCTGTCACGGGACAAGCGTGAAAAACTACCCGTTTAAGAGGCCGACTCTCGTGGCGGGTCGTTTGATTGGCAGCTCTCGAGGAGCGTTCCTCTTGGCCGTCGTCGGCGTGCTCCCTCTCTCTTTTAAAAACCTCTTCGGTATACTACTTCGGTGCGCGTTCGGCGGTGTATTCGAGTCGGAAGCGGCGCGAAGAGGCGGGAAGGAACGAGGGGAGGGCAAACGAAGGAAGGCTTGGCAGCCGGGCAGCCAGGGAAACGAAGGAAGACTTTATTTTCGGTGGCCCGATGACGCTGATCGGTGCAACGCGTGGAACAGGAGGAACGACCCGTCGAACCTGGTGGAAAAGAGACCAACACGGACGACACGAAGAAAGCGAAACGTCCTCGGGACACGAATAATGGATTCGAAAGTGGTGATCGGTACTGGAATCCGTGCAAGAGCTAACCAGACCAAATTATCGCGTAACCGTTCCTCGACATTTAACGAATTAAATATTTTTGATACGTCGTGCAACGGTTAGGGTACCGATAGTCGATGGTGCATCGGTGGTTGGTGTCAACCATGTACGGGCACGCGCGTGAAATTGTTGCAGAGGAATCGCGCGCGCGATAGCAAAGTGGCAAATATGGCGGAATTCAATGGACAAACGCCACTCGAGTCGAGTAAATCGTAAAGCGCGAAATTTATAGCGAGAAACCAGAAACGCAAACGTTCAGCGAATACCTTGGTCAACGATCTCCAAGGACTATCGTTTCATCTGGAAAGCTGCGAAAAAATTCAAGAGACTACTACGACTTTCCGTCGTTGAGCGAAAAGCAATGGAGGTTGGGCTAAATAGGATGTGGAAAAGGCAGACCTATTTGCCAAGCGTCTCGTAGGTGTATTCATACTGTTTCCATCGGCTACAAATACCGACGAACATGGTATAGAAATCTTCCTGAATGGTACGCGTCGAACTTTAGAAACAGAACCCCAGGCTTCCGACCCGATAATAGAGGAACGTGTCTTCGTAGTTTGTTTGTCCACTATGAAATACGTCGGTCCGTAACTAGAACGATAATTTTTATTTAACGAGTAACGGATAAACAGTTTATTCAAAATTTATTATCTTAGACGTTCGCGGTAACGTACGAAAAACAAAGCGGACGAGAGGAACGGAGAAAAAAAAGCTAAAAAGTTGAGTAACTAACGAGTGAACCCGATGTACGTTTCACGGCTGGAAACGAGATTTCCTCGGGACGTAAATAAGGATGGAAAAAGAGACCAGAATAAGGATAAAAAGTACACCGGCGCGGCGTTGTCCACTAGATTGTACTTATGAACGTCTGAAACGAAGGACAATCTAATAGCGACGGGGCTCGCGAACGACAGAGACAGGGAAATACGTTTATTGCGCGCTGAACCGTGTCGCCTTAGCGCACCGAGCGAAGTGAAACCTCCGCAAAAAGTCAAAACAAAAAATAAACGTGACGAGGGTCAGTAGGACCTCGGCGTACGTAAAGGCCGCGCGAAAATACAGCGTAAAACGAGTGGAAGAGAGCTTCTACGCGCGTAGTAAAGCGAAACGAGCGAATAGAAACGTTCCCCGTCGGTTTAGGGACGCATTGTTTATAATTCCGACCGCCATTTTCCACGCGCGAACTTTTGGCGCCGGGGGCTCTCGAGTTCGATTTACTCGCAGTTACACGGTTCCATCGAAGAGGCACATTTTATTTAGTAATTAAAACATTTCCTGTTTGTTTCATTCTATAATTCGAACGTTACTATTATTGTGATTTAAATACGAACGAAGTCGGACACAATAATACGATTAACTGGATCGCGAGAGCTACAATGAGATAAAGGTCTCGTACAGTGAAACGCAGGTAACCTGAACGTTGCGGACGGAACATTGAATTAATTTCAAAAGGAACTGTGAGCTCGCGGCATGTATTACTTTAGATAAGAATGTAGAGTCAGCTTCTGATCTACAAACAATAATCCATCTTGTAAGGCGCGGTTCTCCAAAATCTTCGTTGCGATATCAATTCATATTCAGCGGGAGTACAAGTACCGTGCTCCGCTGACAAGAAGTCATCCCACAGGAATGCAGGATCCGGTCAGCGGAGCACGGAAAGGACACCTTTTTTATTCGAATACATATTACTTTTTGTTCGAATCCCGTATTCCTCGTTGTAAATATCGATATAGATCAGGAACGTTGGGCATTTCGGGCTAATAGAACGACCGGTGGAAGTCGGTGGAAAGAGACGCTGGGAACGTGTCGTGCATGCAGGAAGGATAAAGAAGGAGAGGATCACGCGTGCGGTTCCTCGGTTGTTAGGTCGTCGTTACACAGGTTCTTAAAGGTCCCGTGCGTGGTCTCCTGTACAGCCGTCTGGATGTGTCCGTTCGGTTGGTCTTGTAGCCGAGTGCGCGGGGGTTCCCGGTGTCGCCGCTTCGTACGGTGCGCGCGCAGAGCCTCGACCGGCGTCCGACAGGAGTCGCTGGCGCTGTGGCCGGCCTCGGGCTGCGCGAGCGGGCCGTTCAGTCTAATTTGAACCGTCGCGCGCGCCCGACGCGGGGCCACCGACAATCCCTTCTCCGCCTCGACGTGACACGAGGCTCCTCGTGCATGCCGCGTGCAACACACGCGCCGTTCCCCCGCACGATATTAACCGCACGCGTGCCCGCTATCCAGCAGCACCAGCAGCACCAACTGCAGCGGTCGAGACGGTCGTCTTGGTGATTTTGCTAACGTCTTCGCGAGCCCGACGACACACGACCGTGTCCCGGCACTTCGCCGCGTTACGAATTTTCGTCGGGCGAAAAAAACGGAGCGCGCAGAACCGCGCGACGGCGACCTGTCGTCGTGGTGGTCGTCGTTAGTGCCGCGAGTACCGTCGACGATTCTGGACGGTCGCGGGTAGGAGGTGGTGGCAGAATCGTGCGGTAAAACTGAACGGTGAAGTGCGCGTCGCGCGAGGGCTAGACATCGACGGCTCTCGACGCTACCGACCAACCGCGAGAGCCTCGTGAGTATATTTAAATAGTGTGCCTCGGCTGGTCAGAGGAAGCCGACAGTTTCTTGGTCTTCGTCGTCGTCGTCGTCTTCGTCTCCCGTCTTCTTCTTCTTCTTCTTATTCTGCCTGCTCCTTCCTCCACGTCGTGTGTCATCATCCTCGGCTTTTCCTCGTTCGGAGTGCAACGTGATACCGAGTCGGGACCGCGCCACGACACGACGCGCACGGGGGTGGCGCGAGATTCTTTATCGACCTTCGACGATTTATTTCGAGATACGGGAAGAGTGCCGGCAATCGACGCTCCGGAGAGTTCGTGGCAGCGTCGTCGGCGAGGGAATCCACGCCGTACCGACCAACAAACCTTTGGAATCGGTCACCTTTGCTACCCAAAACAACCAGAAGAAACGAGGAACCGCGGAGGATATCCCGAGACGCGGATCGACGGATCGCGAGCAGTCGTCCTGGCGCCAGGATGTCACTCTCCATCGATCGACAGGATGATCGCGTATTCTGAACTGTATGAGCGCGATCGCGGCAGCCGCTAGTCGGTGTCGTTCGCGATAATCGGTGAACAGAGACGCGACACGGTGTCCCCGTTGCATCCGTCGTGGCGTCGAGGATGAAGAGGACGGTCACGCGTTGGACGAAGAGCAGACAGCCGAGAATCTGTCCGATGGAAGTCCCGATGTCTTGCTGCCGGTGGTACAACACCTCGTGAAGAGTGTTTTCAGTCTACCCCCCGAGGACACACCGTCCACCCAGACGAGAGACCGAGCTTTCGGAACGAATGAAGCTTCCCTGAAGGATTCATCGAGAGAGAGAGAAAGAGAGAGAAAAAGAGAGAGATAGCGTGTGAGAGAAAGAGAGAGAGAGAGAGAGAGAGAGAGAGATAGGAGAGGACAGATAAAAAGATAGAAAGTGAGGGATCGTTTGGCCAGTGTTGAGGCGAACTCGCTAGCGAGAGGGAAAAGAGAGTGCCAGAGAGAGTGTGCTTGTTCGGGGTGACCGAGGTGTCGACCTCTCACCCCCGATCAAACCAGCAAGCAGGTCGGATGATGTGGGCGTCTCTGCTTTTGGCCGGGATCTTAAGCGGCTGGTGGGGCGCACTGGCTCTCGCTGCAGCACCCCCCGCCAATCGTAACTCCCTCGAGGAGACGTCGACGAGGACCACCAGCGACCATCCGCCATCGATGACCATCGCCGCCGTTGAAAACCCTCTCGATTACCGTCTATCGACCTGGAACTTGGTCGCGCGAACCGTCGACGGACGCAGGCTGCCGATCGACGATCGTTATCGCGTACGAACAACCTCCACCGCGAGCTTCGTCCCGGTACCGAAAGATGACAAGAGCCAGCCGGTCGAGTCGCGATCCTGGCGGTACCAGCACGAGAGGATGCTGCCCGCCTCGACGATCGAGGATCGCGTATCAACCGTCGCGGGCGACGACGCGTCGTCGGAGAGGAAAACGGAGGAGCTCTTCGACGACTCCATACGCGACGTGTTCGTCTCCACGTCGAAACGGTCGGATCGTCGCCCGGCAGACGACACGGTCGTTCATCCGAGAACCGACGAGTCCGGTCTGACACGGCTGCCTGGTCACTCGTCCACCCAAACGCCGTTCCTTTACACGCCCGGTGGCAACGAGTCGTCGATGGAGAAGCCACGAGCGATCCGCTCGACCAAGCAACGACCAAAGAACCGTACGAAAGCGGACTCGCCGAGGGAGCAGCGACGACGGTGCCGCAACAAGGGTTGCCGCGGTCAGAACTGGTGCCCCGACGTGGACGTCGGCAACAGGGCCTATCTGGCGCCGACGGTGTTCGAGGGAAAGGCCAGAAGCATGTCCTCCGTGAGGAAACCCGGCTCCAACTACGCGGTGACGTTCGAGGTGAAGCAAGTATACAAGAGCCAGCCGGGTTTCCAGCCGCTGCAGAAGAACGACAGCGTCAGGCTGCACTTTCGCGACAAATCGGCGCCCGGCAAGTCGACCGTTTGCGGCTACGACACCGACGTCAAGCAGCAGCAGCAGCAGCAACAGCAACAGCAACAGCAACAGCAACAGCAACAGCAGCAGCAGCAACAACAGCAGCGCGATAATCAGAGTGGTGTGGTGCGAGCCAATATTAAGAGGGGCAAAGTGTATCTAGTGTTTGTGAATCGCGTGGGACCCAGAAACTTCACGATCCTCGGTGAGCCGTTGATTCGAAGCAAGAAGAACGAACAGGCGGTGCAGGCTGTCGTTCGACCGGATTACGGTGAGTCACATTTTTGTTTACCATCGCCAGCTGCAAAAAATACCCCTGTGATCGGTGATCACGATGTTTCTGGCAACTATGATTACTCGAGTTCCATGCAGCAGGGGTATTCTCTGCAGCTCGCCTAGACTAGAACGATCCCTCGCTTTCGAGCGACAATTTTTACACGTTCTCTCTGGAGCAAACTTTAATTTGTCTGTTCGAATCGCGGATATCCTTTGTCCAATATTCGCTCGTTCGAAGAAAGAAAGAGCCAGTTAATAATGCGTCCTCCCAAGCTTGGCAAGTTGCTAAACGTTTCGTATTGTTCGCGAGATCTAGCGAAAGATGGTAATCCGCTGGTGGGAAGCTCGGAGAGCATGCTGGATAAGGCAAAATCTCCCGGCTTAACTTCGCAATCGTCTGTCGCGCGAGGCGCGATAAGGGCTGCGCCGCGTTGCCCCCCGCGCCCTTTCGAACAGCCCTTTCGATTGTTTCGACAGCAGCAGCTCGCTTTTTCAGGGCTTTATAAATCTCTGTCGACGATAGGGCGACCTTCTCGCGATAGCTCCAGAACGAATTAATCCCTCGACTGTCTGTCTGTTACTCGGCGACGAGAAAGTTAGATTTGGAATCGTTTCACGGTGGACCGGTGATTCGGAGATCGATGAAATTCTTATTCGGGGGAAAAAATGTCGAGGAACGAATGAAAAATGATCGAGCGTTTGTCTCGCGGCTCGTTAAAGCGAAATAAAAACTTCACGCTCGATAAATAAAACATTTAATTATTCGATCGAATAAACGTCACCGATGGATTACCGTATATTTGTTTTATCGATTATCTGTTATTCGAATACAATTTTTTACGTCCCTCATTAACGGTGACACGACGATCGTGTGTTATTTTAAAAATATTTCTCTGTCGATTCGATCTATCGCGGAACGGAAATTCGCAAGACGAATTTTTGATGCAGTCAAATGTATAAAAATATTGTGATAGATCGTTGCATATTTGAGTAAATATACGTGTATACCTGACAGGCACGTCAAAAGTTTTCTGCATAGTAAAATTCGATCTTTGAATCGAATTAATCTTTCGTCGAGCGTGCAGAAATGTTTTTCTGAATTCACTGTTCCAACATATTAATTGGGAATTATTTAAGCATTAAATATAATAATATAACTTGGATATTAAATATTCCTAACGCGATAATGCTCTTTGCTCCTAGAATAACGGCTGATTTAACCTTTCTTTTTAAGCTCGTTAATGGACAGATCATATATTCACCTTTATTAACTCTTATTAACTTTCACGTACCACCTAGACATTGTGGGAGAGATCCGATTTTTCGCTGTCTCGTTTACAAAGTAAATACGAGTATCACGATCCATTTAATCGTTTTGCTTCGTCCGCTAATGGATAGAATGCGATTCGTTTCGATTTCTTCTTCGATTCCAAGTATTCTTTCAGGACTGTTTCATAAAAAGTAGTATATTCCGATGTTACGGCCGAGATAAATATCTCCGTTATCGGCAAATTTGTACAAATAATCACTTTCGACGATAATCGAGAATTCTTGGTGTTATTTTTTGATAATTGAAATTGTCGATGACCGAGCCGACGTCGAAATTAAGTGCACTCACTTTGCACGATAATTTACATAATCTATTATACGAATTATATTATATTATATTATTATAATCTATTATTATGAAACGAACGGTGAAATAAAAAATGGAAGACTGGAAATCTGAAATTTAAAAAAATTCACCTGGATACCTCGATACAGTCACAATCTTGATTTCTGTTTTGTACTTCGAGACGTGGTATAGTCTGTACGGCTTACGTGTAATAGTGGGTCTTTAACCGTTCAATAAATAAACAAATATTCGAAAGTGTTCCGCGGTTTACGCTATCTCGTTGTTGATTTTTATTTTCTAACATTCCACGCGTGGATGCTTGAATATCTAACAGCGGTCGGTGACGTTTCTCCGATACTGCGCGGATTATGTATTATACTGATCAAACAGCTCTGCTTTCCGCGTTAGAAATAGGGCGTGGATTTCTTGTCGAATTTTTTCTTATTCCGGTACATTTTGGCGATTCAAATTTTCACAAAATACGATATACATATATTTATCGTTTATTTTCTTTTAAGTAAGAATTTAGAAACGAGATCCACGTTTATTTAATTCAATGTAATTTAATATCGTGGCTATTCGACTTCTTATTTTATTGCAAGATTATATATATGATACAAAATATAAACAGGGCAGTGAACTAAATTACATCGAATCAAATAAACGTGCACGTCGTTTCAAAGTAGTTCATACTTAGAAATAAAAGTAACTATTGTCGATTATCATTAAGATTAATGATCATCTTCTAAGAAACATCGATTTCAATCACCACAACTGTTCGTCAATACGCATGACCCGAATTCAGCCGATGACAAGATACAATATTGAAATACATCGCCAGTATCAGTATTGTTCAAATATTGTAACTATTAGATCTACTTTAGTTCTGCTAGCTACGGGAAATTATTTATACGCGCGCAGAAAAGTCTTTCGATCATATATGTAGGATCTCCTCTTCTTTGAGTAAGTTTAAAAACTAGATTCGATGTATTTACTATCATTTCTTTTTGCGATTCACTCTGTGCTATCGTAATTGCAGTTTGTAGCTCAGGTACGCTCTGAAATTGTTTATTTCCAGTATAAACCTCTCAAACGATAATGCTCCGTGTGCTTCCGATTGGATTTCGGTCAGGGGAACGAGCTGGCCATAGCAAAACATCGATTTCACCTGCCTAATACCTCGTTTTCCTTCCACAAAAGACAGTAAATCATAATAATATTCCTATTTCATTTCAAATTTTTACTCCGATGCGTCGACTGTCGTTGTTCGTAGTAAATTCTTACAATAATTAATATCCAGCGCGGGAGAAAGACGTTTCAATAAGAAAGGGGATACGGTGCGAGCACACATCTCGAACAGTTTAACATTCGGATAACGAAGATTCGAATAAGGGAGATTCCAGCGCATCGAATACACCCGAGTACTCGTAAAATACTGGAATATTAAATTATTCGAACAGTCGCAGCCCTAGTTAGAAACCTAATCCGCGCCGTAAGCTCGGTAGGGACGTCTTTCAGGTTCAGCGAGACCGGAACGATAAATCGCGACAACGCTTTGACGCTATTACTTATTGTATCCCGAGACTCGTTTCTGGCTGCCAGCACGCCCACGTGCAGGGAAGAGAAGAGGTGCTTTCCTCGAGGCGCGTAATCGAGCCGCGAACACGCGTATATTTAAACCGCGCCACGTAAGTTGGAGCGCCTTCAAGTCAGCGCGCGCGTTCAACTCGCGCGACTCCTCGCTTTGAACCTCTTCTAGTTTCTAAGACCCTAGCGTCACTCCAAATAAAAAAAGTCGAGTCCCAGATTCGAATAGTCTCCATTCTGGAATATTTACATACGATTATTATACGAAATAAAAATGTTTTTACGAAACAGAATCTAAGAAGATGTAAAATATCAGATAGAGATAGAGAATATTCGTTGCCAATGAAAAATTAATTATAAAATAACCAGAATCTCGAGAAGCTTAATACGAGACATTTCTAATTGTAAACGTGTAAAATTTCGCGGTAGAATCCTGTAGGAGCGAGACGTTGGGCTGTTGGAAAACGGTCACCGATGCAGTCGAGTTATTATTTTCACTACAAGTATAACACGCAACGTGAAAATTTGAAGGTGGTCCAATTTGTCGACGGTTCAACGCGCTCTGTGGCCGATTTGCTGTCCCCCCTCCCCCTCCCTGGTCCCTCCGCGACTATTCACGCGGGCAAAGACTTCTCCACGGCGGCGATGACTGCTCGTCGTCCCGCGACGACGACCTTCCTTACTTGATTTATCGCGGCAGCGTCGCGCGCGACCGCTCCGACTCCCCGAGATATCGAAAGTAGCTCGTCACGGAACATCTGTGAAACTGTTGACGAGCTGACGTTGCCTGCCTGCCTGTGGCGGGACTCGAAGCCGCGCACATGTGGCTTTCCTCGTGAAAAGGCGAAACTATCGGAGCAGACCGGTAGCACGACGTGTCGACGATCGTTATTCCTGGTGTCCACTCGAGAATATTACTCTTCGGTCCTTGTTTCGTTCCTGGGAGAGTCCCCGTGAACGATGCACGCTCTATTCAGAAAGAAACACCCGAGAGAAAACGTCGACGATCAAATGTTACGCCGGAGTCGAGGAGGTGTCGTTCGAGTTACTTTGTTCGGTGATTCGTAATGATTAGAACACTGCTCGTTCCGAGGCCGTACATGGAAATGGCGTTGTCAGGGGACAGGGAACTTGATCGTCTTTGTACCAGAAGAGTCGATCGAACGATAGATCATATCGGAAGGAAAGTCATTGTTATAAATTTAGGTGGGTCGAGCTAGAATCTTTGCTGAGATGGTTGTTTGTTTCGTGAACTATTCTCTTAACTTAGGTCTCCATCTTGAGTTAAATCATAGACTATCAGCAACAAATACTCAAAATGAGATAAAGTCCAGGGGCAGAAAGACGTTGAGAGTTTGTAGGCTCTGAAACGTGTTGCGATTAATTCTAAAATAATTCTATTAATCCGGTACCAGTTGTTCCAAATCCAAATAATGGTTCACCGAGTGTGCGTGGCTCATTTTCGTACGAAGAAGAAATAGACACGATCCTAAGCTCTACGACGCAGAACCGCAATCACCGTCGAGAGCCGGTATCTAGAATAAAAGCTCTTGCACACGAGCCTTCGTGCTGTGAAAGTTGCTTCATCATTCGTAAGGTCAGTTCCCGCGTGTCCGTGTGACAGAACCCTTACTTTCAATGCTGTGTCCACTAGAAAGTCTTACTCTTGATAGCACAACACTCGGGAGCAAAACTCTCCATTGGACACACCAGGCATTGGCAATGGGGACCTTGAATATGCCGCGTTTGTCTGGTTCTCCATGTAAGGGAGAGTTGCGAAAATCGTACCACTC